GAACCTTCTAGAATCTTCTAGAATCCCGTTTATGCGGCTTTCTTATGGCCGCCCAATTTACACGCACCTAATGGCCGCCCGATTTCGTTTCTCACAGCCGCCCAAATCTCAGATTTCCCTGTTATTGGTTTTGCCGTCTCTTATGGCCGCCCAAATTGCCGCCGTAATCGCCTGACTCGATTCTCAGAATTGTCGACTTGTCCAATTTCGCCTTCAAGCTTTTCGAGCTTTCCTCTTGACTGATCTCGGTCGAGCTTTTTCTGACTTTCTATGCTCTCGTTTATCTTTCTATCAAAACTCGAATCGCGATTCTACCTATCCTAGAACCTGAAATACCTTTACTTTCCTGTGACTATTGTTACGCTCGGGTCTATCGCAGACTGTCACCTCGTGTTAACAATTAAGCCCTTTTCGGCTCTGTCACCGGCTGAGTTTTGGTCCCAAACGGCTAGGACCTGCACCAGTTTTCTCTGCTCACTTTCCTCTTTCCGTGAGGACTTTGTTTGTCTCTCTACGACCTTTTCTCACGATTCTATGCGTTTTGTGTGAGCGGAATAAATTTTTTCTCTTACCTGGTTTTCTTTTGTTTTACCTTGACTCCTTAACTTTCATAAGTCCGCGCTCGAACTCTGGTTGACTCTCACTTTCGATTTTGATGTCTATCGAACGGTCTTTTTGTCCTTTGTGTGCTCACCAAAATTCAACTCTCCAACTTAATAACCAAAAAAGTTATTAATTTTTTAAGCCAAAAAACACGGCACTTTACGAATTACGCGTATTTTCACTAATGTCTGCCTCACGGCCGTAAAAATCGTCGTATTTGCTCGTAAGTGGTATCGATAGATGCGCTATAAGTAACCTGTCAATAATATGTCGCTTTTATAAAAAACGGATAAAAATTGCGGTCGTAAAAAATAAAAGTCCTTGAGAGCGTCGCTCAAACACGTGTGTTCTCTTCGACTGTCTCGGCCGAACTGGTAGATAGGGACATGAGTGTCCTAAGCCTGGTATCGCCCTGCAGCTAACCTTCAACCCCGACCTGTTTTAGCGCTGTGGTGCTATTCACAGATCGGGGCAGAGCAGAAGAGCCGGAACGGTTTCCCGGTCCGGACACGTTCTGGGTCTTCTGTGGAACACCAGCACCGCATTGATGGGTTGTGCGTCATCGTTGCGTACCTGCCGTCTTAGAGCCGTGCATCGCTCGTTGACACCCCAGTAGGGGCATGATCCTATCTCGGCCACTAGACGCATCTGGTAGGCGCCTACACCTCCGATGATTAACTCCCACCGGTAGAGCAGAACATGAAGTCAGGGAGCGTCTCGCAAACACGGCCAGTTCGTACTGGCCGGGTAGGATGACCTGTCACCCAACGACAAGTTCCTGACCAAGCTTGGCCGTAATCACATAGTTGCTCCTGCATCCGCCACTACGAAGCCAAGCCAACACTGCGCGTGGGACGACCATGTCGGCCCGCACGCGATTGCCGGGGGAGCAAGACGCGACTTGCCCGCTCTGTGACGGGTGCCGCGACTCGGGGCTCTCCCCCGCCCGTAGCACCTTTTTGGTCCCTTTCGGTTACCCAGGCTGGTGGCCTGTTCGACGGTTGCTCGTCGGCCGAAGCCTTGCAGTCGTCTACCCGACTTGGTTGATGTAACCGGGCCCGGCTGAGTCCCTCCAGGACGCTCGTTCTGTGACTTATAAGGTAACCACCCCTGTTTTAGCGACATCAGCCGTCGACTATTATGATCGTCTCTTACGATCGGCATATTTATTGCCCTAGTAGAATTCTAAGACCCTTGCTGGAGGGCTTGGTGGCTGACGCTTGACAACCTAGAGACTGTGTTTCTGTACTTGGCTGCACACACGGCCTGAGGTTGGGCTCGTCACCCCCTCAGGCGTTCAGTGATAGGCTCAGCTAGACGTTTGCTCGTGCTTGATGGAACTTGAAGTTGTATTGTATTACTTCGTTTGACGCAGTTCAGTCATATACCTCCTCCTTTTTTTGTTCTCCAGGGTATTCTTTGCGAAAGTCCTAAATGCTTCATATAACGACCTCCATCTTCATTGTAGTCGCAGGGCCATAGTAAACCTTTCCTAAAGCAATTAAGCTCCAGTCTGTCCCTATGGCTTCTGGTCAGTGGACACTGTGTCATGGCATGCTCAGGATTGTCCAATCCCTCCCCATAGTCACATTGGATTGAATCCGCGAGACCTAGCCTTACCAGGTTTTCCCTGAAATCTCCGTGTCCCGACAGATATTGCGTGGTGTAAAAATCTCATCGGTCGTCGGTAGACTACTTACTTCTCTGTATTGAGCATAAAGTCCTTCTTTGTGCTTTCGTTATCTTGTGAAAGGTTACAAATATATAAAAATCAAATTAATTGGCCGCAACGAAAAATTTGTAACTTTCATGGCGTTTTACAAAGTTATAAGTAAAGGGTCGCCAACCTACTGGGCGAGACAGTATATTGTCGGACCACAGTAGGATTTAAAAAAAAATTTNATGTCGGACCATAGTAAGATTTAAAAAAAAATTTACTTTTTTATATTAAAACAATTAAAAAAAATATATAATTAATAACTATTAAAGTTGATGTCCGTTGAGTCGTTGATAGTAGATGTACACCAAAACCTCGTGACAGTTGTCACATAACCATATTAATGAGGGATGACCTTATACAAGGCTGTTGCCCGTACCTTATAAACTAGGGGAGTTGATTTTTGAAAGGNAACTAGGAGAGTTGATTTTTGAAAGGAGAAAAAAAAATACATGAGACCATTGAAGATGGAACACGCAAAAAAAGAAAAATATGATGGTTAAGTTAAATTAAGGGGACTTTATTAAAAAAAAAAAACAAAAAAAAAATTAAGTTACTACGAGGGAAAAAACCGAATGGTCAAAAAACCTCGTCTACAAATTAAAGGGGAAAAAGAATGAGAGAAAAAAAACAGATATTAATAAAAAAAATAGTTACACCTACAGTTTTATTGTTAGAGAATACGATGAACGTCTTCGGGTACCCGCCGGCTATTAATCGCAGCATTGCCGCTAAGCACGGCGGGTATACGTCCCAAGTAAGCGACTGGTTTCTGGCAGTTAGGCTTAGCTTGCAAGACGTTGGGACACCCCGGAATAAAATGCACTACGTCACCACATTGTACCAATAATATATACATATCACCCATAAATATAATCTAAAACCTATATAAAAAAATATGGATATAACATGACAGGTGGTCTTGTACACGCCTGTCATGTTGCGGGACCTAAATAAAAAAAAATATAGGGGCACCTACACAAAAAATAACTACATAAAAAAATTCGCCACACGTGTTTATGGCACGGCGCACTAAAAAAAACTGGCTCAAAACATTAAAACAATAAATATACATTACCTGCCCCGAAGGGCTACAGAAAGTGGATGCATGATTAGCCGACGCCATAAATAAAAAATTACATATTAAAAAATATCGGACACTCACGTAAAACAAAAATGTAGATATATATAAAAAAAGTTGTAACGCACAACAAAAGTAACTACCGCTACGGACGAAAATTAGCGTACCAGTTCCGACGATGGCTAATTTCCGACAATTCGCCCGACGTTTGACCCGGCGGTCCGTTGGTGACAACACGGCTAGCCTTTGGAGTAGGGGTCAAAAAAAAAAACTTAATACCCAGTGCCGGAAATTACTAAGAACAATTTTAATCATAAGGTGACAATGTATGCGGTGAGCAGTGCAAATGCGTTCAAGATAGGAAAGGAGCGGGGTGAATGTACACACAAATGCCGTCCATTAACCGGTCTGAAGTAGTACACAGCTGACTATCTCTCACGCGCATAAACAAATCATAATACCTAATCACGATAATTTTACTGACAAACGCCGTCGTAGTCCGCATTCGGCTTAAAACAAATATATATATATATATATATATATATAAATAGACAAAAAAATAACTAGATACATTTGTCACGTTACACTTGTTAAACCAGAATTCTAAACCATATCCAATATTAGGAAGGAAAATCGCTTAGTACATCAGTACATCGATTTTATGTTCTTTGCCCCATCCCGGTCCGCTTATTGCTCTCATTCTGCTATAAAAAAACTCCTCCGCAGTGTCTTTAAGGTAGGTGATATGAGGTTGGAAATTCATTCTTTCCCCCAAGTGGATCCCCAAGTACCTTACTTTCCTAACCATAGGTATCTTCATATCCCCCATGTGTATCGCAAACCCAACCCATAATTTTCCCTTCAACATCAGAGCCTCACATTTGTTTTCTGAAAACTTCAGTCCATATTTACTCGCCCAGTGAGGGAGATCGCTAAGGAGTAACTTCGTTCTGTCCAATAACTCCCTTTTATTTCTTGCAGATACCATAACCACTATGTCATCCGCGTAAGCAATCCTTAATTGATGTTCATCCGTTGTGTTTCGTCCATTGCTATTTTCCACAGGAACGGCCCGTAGCAAGAACCCTGCGGACATCCTTTAGTCAGGGTAACATGTGCCTTCACTCCCCCCTCCGTCATTGTGGCACTTCTATCTTTTAGGTAACTCATGGCTAGCTTTCTTGTTCTAAGACTTGCCCCTAGTTCCCTCATTCTGCTGATTAATGGATACCAATGTACATTATCGAACGCCCCCTTAATATCTAGGAAAAGGCCTATTACATATTTATCCCTCGCCCTATCTACTCATTTTATGATGGTATCTATGGCAGTACTTGTAGATCTGCCGCACGTAAACCCGTGTTGGTTTATATTCAATCTAGGTTCAATTTCTCTTCTCAATTTAGTAACCATAACAAACTCCACCACTTTCGATATAACTGGGAACTAACTGATTGGCCTGAAGGATTTCGTAAGTGTTGTGTCTGCGCTGTTTGATTTCTTGAGTGCAATAATTCTGGCCTGTTTCCAGGCGATCGGAAAGTACCCTTTGCTCATCACTTCTTGGGTAATGATCCTAAGCCAATCCTTCACACTTGTCTAAGCTTGTCTTAGTACACCTGCATTAATTGCATCCTCTCCTGGTGCTTTTCTTGTACCTATTCGCCATAATGCTTGTTTAATTATGCCCTCATCAATTTCTTCTTCCACAGACGTATCTTCTTCTTCGTCCAGGGTTATGGGCAAACCTGCATCCTCCGTCGGTATCATGCTCTCCAGCATGTATGTCACTGTATCCTTCGCATCCTTGGTGTATGTTCCATCAGCCTTCAACTTTGTCGTTATCACATTAGTTTGTTTCCCCCCAGTTTTCAACCATTTGTAGCACTTACCCCATTCATCATAATTTATGGATGTAGCAAATACTCTCCATGAAACTCTCTTCTTTTCCCTTAAGGCCTTGGTGTACTCATTCCTTATTCTTTTATATCTTTCTTTGAAAATATTTTCATTGTCAACTTTGTTTCGCTCGTATAGCTTATTTGCCGACCTTACTCTCCTTTTTATTTCTTGTAGCTTATCATCCCACCAGGGCGGCTTCGGTCTATTAATTTCTCGTCCCCATGGAATAGCTAACTTGGCTGCATTTCCTATTACCTTCTGCATGATATGTACTTTCTTGTCTATATTACCTGCCAAAAACTCGTTCTCATACCATGCTACTTCCTGTTCAAGTGTGGCATTAAACCTGTTCCAGTCTGCTTTCTTGATATTGTATCTTTTAGCTGGTTTTGAATATTTTGCCAGATGTCCTGCATTTAATTTATATTCAATTAGTCTATGATCGCTGCTAACCATTCCTACCTTAACCTTTCAGTCACTAATTTTGCTTGTTGAGAGTGCGTTTATCAACGTCACGTCGATATTCGTCTCCCCCCTATCGCCCGCAAAGGTTCGGGGTTGACCTGGAATATTACATACACTAAGTTCGCGATTGTCCAGCCATTCCTCTACCATTGTACCGTTCTGGTTGGTTCTATCACTGTACCATCGAGTCGAAGCAGCATTTACATCCGCTCCAATTAGAGTGGGTCCTTCTAGGTTGTTTAGTACCTCATCCATACTTCTCAAATGAACCTCTGTTGGTGTACTATACTTGAAGTATGCTGATATTATGTTTAACGATGGTAGTCCAGATCTTGTAATTGTCGCTACTGCTATATCCGTCGACGTTAAGTTCTGTCTCGCCAGTACAACTAATTTGGGATCCAGAACTAGAATGGCTGCACCGATTCTCGTCCTGTTTTCTAAAGTTGTAGGCTCACATTTACCTTTAATTACTCTATATGGTGGTACCTCCAATGATGCAATTTTACCCTTCCTAGTATATGGTTCTTGTAACAAGGCTACATCAGCTCCCACGCTGTGGCAATACTGCGCAATTTCTTCGTTTGCCATGGCCCCCCTTCCTAAATTAATTTGTACACATTTTATTGGTGTTTTTGCATGGTCTACCTCATCCGAGGAAGGTAGATCCGGCTATGGCCCTCAATTGTCTCCATAGTCCGTCCTTCTTAGCGCCTCTCTAATTTTCCGTTCTTTCACCATACATTCCCCCGAAGTAGCTGAGTGTTGTTGTGCACAATTTGAGCATTTCAGTTTTTCCGGCGTTGGGCATTCTCTTGAGTCATGAGGTTCTGCACAATATTTACATGTAAACCCACTTTTCCTACACTTCGACATAATGTGTCCAAACTGCATACATTTATAGCATTGAGTTATGTTGTTGAACTCCTGCACTTTACATCTACTCCACTTAATATATAGAAATAGTATAGTATATAGAAAACTCGGAGCCACCTCGATTACCCAATTAACAGAGTCCATTTCCCTTGGACCTTTCCTAAATAGCGGTTTCATATTCATGTCCGCATTCATTAAATCCACCCCAATTTCCCTGTTTGAAAAGGCTATGGCTCTCGAAATCTGGTCCCCTGATATCTCTCTGTCTACGCCTTTAACCATGATTTTGGGCCAGGCCACTTCCTTTTCTCTTATTCTACAGTCCGCATTCGCCATATCCTTCAGTGCTCTAAGAGTCTCCTCATCCTTTGGTCTGATGACCATCTTATTCGATTTCTTTGATAAGGTCAGCTTTGGGACAGTTACCTTCTTTGTGATTTCCGTCCATAGTTCTTCCTTCTCTTTCCCTGTAATCTCACCAAACATATTGAACTCAAATGGAGTTNAATCTCACCAACCATATTGAACTCAAATGGAGTTTCTGGTTTTTGACTCCTACACTCCCTTCTTATTCTATTTCTTCTTGACGATGTCGATCTAGAGCGACTATTCTCGTTTGTAACTATCTTCTTCGTTTCGACAGGTTGGTTATTTGTGGCTTGTGCATATGTTGGTATCCCATTTGGTGGAGGCATTCTCTCCGCTTCTCTCTACATTTGTCCGTTTAGAGGGTTGATACCCCCAACTTATAATCCCCTTTGGCTTTTAGCAGCTCATTCTCTATCTTTACTGCACACAGCTTATCAATAAGTTTATCATTATTATCCCTACACTCTTCTAGTTTAGCACTTGCGATATTACACTGGGTAACCATGAGCGATATGGCCTTTTCAAGCTCCATGATCTTTTGGGATAACAACTTCTTCCTTTCTACCGTAAATGTTTTCCCTATTAGGTCATTCATGGCCGTAGTAACCAACCAGCCTGTGATATTCCTTACTGTGGAAATTCCATCCCAAAGCGAGTCCGATCGGTTGTTTCCCGACACTTTCCTCTTCTTTGTAATTGCCCCTGTAAACGGGCTAGTAGCTTCCGTAAGACTCCTACTTTCCTGTTCCATCTGTTCATCCGTGGAGATCTCAGATGTCATTGACATTATCACTCAGCAGATATGCGCATGCACGAGAGGAAAAAAAAAAAACAAAACCGCACACGCGCACTACACTTTAAATCACTGCGCATGCGCAGTATCGAACTTAACAATAAACGATTTTGTTGTGCGCATGCGCAAACAGAAATCGACTTTCCCGCCAAAATATTATTTCAAATATTGCGATTTTTGGTATAACCGCTCCAATGGTTGTCCTCCACCGCTAATCCTAATCTAGTGTAGATCGGTACACGTATAGCGGAGATCCCTTAAAAGGGATTTTAGACCCCGTGTGTGGTGGCGTTCTTGTTCGCTGTAGCGATATCCTTTAGTGGCTTTAATGTCTCGTCGTCCTTTGCCGTTATTATTATCCTATCCTGTTTCTTAAGCAGCGTCATCTTCGGTACCATCACCTTTTTCGTGACTTCCGTCCACAGTTCCTCCTTAGCATTATATGCTTCCCCACTTTCAAGGTTAAGTTCGAATGGTACATGAGGTGTTTGTTCCTTACATTCCCTCCTTATTTTGTTTCTTCTTGAGGACCTTGATCTCGATAGCTTCTCGTTTTCTTTATTTTCCGCTCTTCCTTCCTCCTTGTTTTTATTTTGCATTACCGCTTGAGAGTATGATGAGACTCTGCTTGGCGGGGGCATTTCCATCCACCTCCTTCTCCTCTCTTTTTCTATTATTCCCTTTTTCTCCTTAACTCCTTTACTCTTACTTCCATCATCTCTTTTTCCTTTCTTATTTCGCACAATCTATCTATCAATTTTTCATTACTGTATCTGCTTTCCTCCAGCTTTGCATTTGCTACGCTGCATTTGTTCATCATCACCGCCATCGCTCTCTCCAGTTCCATAACCTTCTGTGAGAACGCCTTCTTTCTTTCCACCGTGAATGTCTTCCCGATCAGGTCGTTCATTGTCGTCGTCATAAGCCAACCCGTTATACTCATCACCATTGCCATGCTAACTTTTAATTTTTCCGGTCCCTTATTCACCGATACCTTCCTCTTCTCAGTGATCGCCCCCGTTGAGGGACTTACAGCTTCCGTGAAACTCCCGCTACATTCTGCCATATCTTCCATTAATACCTCCAATTTGTCGACACATTTAGTCAGCCGTTGTGCGCATGCGCGAGAAAAAAAAACAAACACGTGCACTGCACTGAACTCTCTGCGCATGCAAGGATTTAATTAACACTTATCGACTTTTGTTGTGCGCATGCGCAAACAAAAAGTCAATTTCCCGCCAAAATAATTGTTCAAAATTTACGATATTTGGTATCCTCGTACCAAATATTGTTTTCCACCAATTTTCCGAATTTCGTGCGGATCGGTCCACTAGCAACGAAAATCCCTCTGAAGGGATTTCCGATCCCAAGTGTTGTGGCGTACCACTTAACGGACGCAAAAACAAATTTTCCTGTGAAGAAACCTTTTCTCTATCACCAAAAGCTAGTTATAGGGAATCCAAAATTGCGAAGTGAGGGGGGGAGCACCACTTTTAGGTGGTAAACCGCCTCCGTTCGCACAGTCACCTGGCACCACTCCGGGCACTCTCCGTCATTTATTGAGTGCGCTAGGCGCCTGTCAATGTTGCGGGGGGAGGGGAAGCAGAAAACAAAATGCTCAATACAATCTTACCGCAAAAATGGCCGACTTAAAGTGCGGTACCAGACTTGCCGTTTGCCGGTGCTTAACCGACGGTTAATAAACCACGTGTTTATCAACCAAATCCACAATAAAAACGAAAATTAAGCCTCCGAGCTTTGAATATAGCTGCCACCTACTCAAAATCGGCACCAGTGGCTCCGCGCACTAAAAACCGATAATAAGGTATACTCAAAACTAAAAATGCATAAAACCAAAAAACTGTAAGACGCAAAGAACTCCAGAGCTGCGCAACACATATGTTCACGCAACCATAGTCCGCGCGCTACTAGTAGATAGTATCCTGTTTGTGGTATCATCATGCGGCTAACCTACAACCCCGACCCATTTTAGCACTGAGGCGCTATTCACAGATCGGGGCAGAGCAGAAGAGCCGGAGCGACACGTTCTGGGTCTTCTAGGGAACACCAGCACCGCAGCGACAGGTAGTCCGCGTTGTTGCGTATCTGTCGTCTATGAACCCCGCATCGTTCACAGTCACCCCGGTAGGGGCATGACCCTATCCCGGTCATTAAACGCATCTGGTAGGCGTCTACACCTCCGGTAATTAACTCCCACCGGTAGAGCAGAACAAGAAGTCAGGGAGCGTCTCACCAATCAGATCAGTTCGCACTGACCGACCAGGCTGACCTATCACCCAACGACAGGTTCCTGACCAAGCTTGGCCGTAACCACATAGTTGCTCCTGCAACCGCCACTACGAAGCCAAGCCAACACTGTGCACGGAGCGACTGGCCGGTCCGCACACGAGTGCCGAGGGAGCGAGACGCGACTTGCCCGTTCTGCAACGGGTGCCGCGACCCGGGGCCCTCTCCCGCCCGTAGCACCTTTTTGGTCCCTTTCGGATACCCAGGCTGGTGGCCTGTTCGACAGTTGCTCGTCGGCCGAAGCCTTGCGGTCGTCTACCCGACTTGGTTGATGTAATCGGGCCCGGATACTCCCCTCCAGAACGCTCGTCCTGTGGGCTATCAGGTGACCACCCCTGTTTTAGCGACAGCAGCCGTCGACTATTATGATCGCCTCTTACGACCGACATAATTATTGCCCCAGTAGAATTCTACGCCTCTTGCTGGAGGGCTTCGTGGCCATCTTCGACGGCCGGTGCTCCTATTTTGCTTCTGCCTTATTCCATCCACACGGCCTGAGGTTGGGTTCGCCACCCCCTCAGGCATTCAGTGGCTGGTGTTGACTATCCACAATACGGCTGCCTCCCTGATCCATGTCCGCGTCCTCGAGTTATCCTGAGTCGGTACCATCCATGGTATCCTCAACCAGCATCGAATCGTCTATTTA